TTAAAGTTGCATAGATATCCGAATGCATACTAAGTCAATTTGTTGTACGCGTGTTTGTGATGGAGGAAAACGAGCAGGAGGATTGAAGAGAAAGAGGGAGCTGGAGTGAAGCTATCGAAAGCGTTTGTTGGGGTTGTGTAGCCAACGTGGAGGTGGCAATGAATGGGAGGCTGCGTAGCCCGGACGCCGACGAGTGAGATTGATTTTAAGTCGGCCCTTCGGCGGTCGCAATGTTTCTACGGAGAAGTTGTAGTCCCATAATCGATGCGGACTCAACGAAAAGTTAGTTTGAAGACTTTGCTTGGAAATTAGACGCTGGCTGAACGCAGTCCTTTTTACGAGGAAGTCCAACCGACATGTACCATCGTAGATGCAGGAGTGAGGTGGAGCGACACACATAAAAAGAGGCTCAGAGACATGGTTGTTTGACTCACAGAAGGGTATCAAGAGACTTGGTTGAGGATACGACACTATCACGGTGGGATGCCCCCAGCTATGGATGAGACGAACATAGGGACTTTCCACGGATGGAAGCCTAGGCAAACCGATGGTGTAAGGGCGAGCATGGTCAGCTCAATTGAGATGGTCGCTACTGAAGAGGTGGCAAAGTCCGGAGTTCATCGTGTTTTTCACACTTTTGTGATTTGAATTTCGTCTTCTAATTGGTTAGAAGGTCGATATCTGATAGGTCCAAGGGTAGGCCGGATAGAGTGGAGAGATTTGATTGGTAGACTCGAGCAATGAGTGAGGATGAGTCATATGCCCAAAAGAGATCTTTGAGCGAAAATAAACGCTTGAAAATAGCTAAGTATATGCGAAGAAAAGTTGGGTTTCGAGGACTCTCTTGCTTCATAATTGTTGAGCTTACTAACATTTCGAATCAATTCAAACATGGTTATAAAACAAAGGTTGGAGTGTTAAAATCTATGATTATTCGGAGCATAGGACTAGCCGATATAGACCATTGTGGCAATGAACTGAATCGGCTTAACATAACATTTCTTGAGAATAATTATACCCTAGGCTTGATTGAAAATAACATTAGATCAATAAAGAATAGCTTTTTGAATGGTAATTACATAAGGAGAGATAAGGAGAGCTTTTTTCATGTTTTGTCTTTACCTTCGTGCATTCTCTCTAAAAGGATAGGTGAACAAGTAAGGAAGTGGGAAATAAAAACGGTCTTTATGAAAACTACGACACTTTCTTCAGTCATGCCCACTTTTAAAGAGAAAGTTGACCCATTATCCAGATCGGGTTGCGACAAAATAATGTGTTCATGTGGTCGCTTTTATGCTGGAGAGACTTTTCGTCCCATTCGACCACATTGCCACAAGTGCCTTTAGGTCACGGGGCAGATGTGAATTTCAAGGAAGGCCAGGCCTTTTGCCATATCATATTCTTTAGTGGGTTTGTCATTGAAGCAAACGTATATTTGCTATAACAATCGACTAAGTTACTTTATTTTTTGCATTTAAGTATTGGCTTTAAACTACCAGTAAATCTGTAATATGAGATGTATTCACCAAATTTCGTTTAAGGTGATGAAGGACTGGTAGAAGATTTCGCATTGTCTTGTCTCCAAAAAGCTTTCCTCATCCAGGCTGGACTGCAGTGTCGAGCTCGCCTAAGCCTTATCAATATTCACAGCGGCACTCGACACATGACTGCAGAGTATAATCTCGACAGATTAACCACTAAGCCACATTGTCAGGAGTGCCCTAGATTGATGTAAATTTAAAAGAAGGCCAGGAATTTTCCCATATCACATTCAGTGCTGGGATCGTCAATGAAGCAAATTTGTATTTGCTATAGAAATCGACTATGTTACTTATTGGTAGAAAGAATTAAATTTCATATGAAAATGCACGAAAAAGAGATTCGAGGGTTGATCTCACCAGAAGACGACTGCTGATTTCGGTTGTACTACAGCCGTTTGGTTTTAATGCTACGATCAGATTGACGCAGTTCGCAAGGCACCCTCCTCGTTTTGAATGAAAACGGACTGGGCTTTCGTCCATTATTTGAAGGACATTATCAGACCATGAATACGTTCTTGTAAAAATCTAACGTTAATATTCAGTCAAGAAGACGCTCTGGCTCTCTTTTACTTCTTATAAAGAATTATAACTAAATAACGAAAGAGTATAGACATAGATAAATATATAATGGTTTGCCCAATCATATTTCATACTGGTCATGCTACTTTTATTCGGTTGCGTGTGTATGTATGTGTATGTGTGTTAAGGTCTATACGCAATACCGATCCTAACTCAAAGTGACAAAAAAGCCTTATGTAAGACTCTGGTCATCAAGGTTTGTTGTACTATGTCACTGTGACAGCAATACCAAGTTGTGTCAACAAGGTCAACCCACTTCTATAAATCGAAAGGAGACTGCGACCATACCAGAGGTCACACCATCTTAGTCTTCATATCTATGATCTTTAAAATTAAATTACCCACACTGATTTACTGGTAGTCTCGAAACCCTACTTTCATATAAACTACCCAAGGCAATACCTGAACGAAGCTACGTAATCTGGAAGGTATAGTTTGGTTGTTGAGTTTAATCTAACATAGTGGACGAGTGTGAGTGAAGTTATAAGTATCACTGAAAGGCTAAGCAACCTATCTCTTTCAATATTTTGATCAAGCATAAGTAATTTCTATTCAAATGTTTAACATCATTCCTCACACGTCCCATTGCACACGTGTTGTGTGAGTGCATTGCTCTTGAAATGAGTGTGATGTGAGAGTCAATACCATATTCCAGCCTAATCAAGTCTCCTCTTGCTCGGTGGTACTTCTCGTTCCCCTCTCTCTCTCTCTTTCTCTCGCTCTCGCTCTCTCCAAACCTATCCAACAACCACAAGTAGTTTCCGCTTAACTTCCCACATTCACTCCTTCCATTCAGGGTGCTGGCTGTTTCGTTGATTTCTAACGCCTCCCTAATCTTTCGCTTGCTGGTTGTTATAGTCTCCATATCAAACTAAGCGTTTGGCATTAGACAAATCTATCCAGCTTCCTGTGCGAGCCATCTATTCGGCCAATTAAGGTTTTTTGACCCACATACCCTTGTAGGCTGTTTTGTGTTCGGATAACCACTAATGTATGAGCCTACAGGCCTTTCTCACATGGGCACTACCACATGAACACAAAATATTGTAACAGCCTGATCTGGAGAGCTGCTCAACGTTTTCTCGAAACGAAGGCAATACCGAGAAAAGTGATATTTTCTCTGAATTCTGAATGTCAAATTTTTTGTTAGATATATGATTGATCATTTTGTGATGGTAAAGACAGTTTAGAAAGTCTTATATGTTCACTTAAACAGTGTGAAAAAAAATTAAATTCACAATAGAAGTAGAAGAAAATAGGAAATTACCTTTTTTGGACGTTATGGTTATTAGGGAAGATGGTGAGCTAGGCAGAGATGTTTATAGGAAATTAGAATATGCTGGTTTTGTTCATAATTTTCTTTCTAACCATAGTTATAAAATTAAGGTTGGAATTTTTAAATCTATGATTATTACTAGTATAAGATTTGCGGATGAAAATCTTCTGACAGAAGAGTTAAGAAAACTGAAAGTTTTATTCTTGCAGAATAATTAGCTTTTGGGCTTAGTTGATAATAATATATCTTTAATAAGGAATAAATTTTCAGGCGGAGACTATTTTGTCAGAGCTAGGCAAGCCGAGACCTTTTCTCATGTTATACTCTTGCCACTAGACAGGAAAACTAGTGAGGAAGTGGGAGATATCAAGTGGCAGTTATCAAAGAAACTCTGACAATTTCTTCGGTTATACCTTTTTTTATAAAGGAATATGACCCACTATCAAAATCTGGCTGTTATAAGATTGTGCTCCTGTGGTCGACTTTATGTTGATGAGATCTGTGGGCCGATCCACCAAAGATAAGCGGAGCACAAAAATGCTTGTAAAGACAGCTAGGTCGAACGGTCATAAGTGGCGGAACACATGACAGAGAGTGGGAATCAGATAGAATCGTCTCACAGGCGGAGGTCTGTTGATTAGCATATGTTTGCTACGAAACGCAGGATAAGAGAGACTATTGAAATTAATATATTGGATAACATTTTGAATGTGGCGAATTGTGGTACACAGTTGGGTAAGAATTACTTATGCTTGATCGAGAGATTGAAAGAGAGAAAGAGCATTCAGCAGCCGTCCAAAAGAAGGCGATTCAATTTGCCAGCTGATTGCTGGTTCTGACCAAATGCACACTCGTTCAACAGGCTTGTTAAGCCCATCAGCCAAAACAGGCATCCTGGGCTAAGCAATCCCAGCCAAGCTTCCCTATGGGTCGTTAAACCTTACTAATCCAAACGAACGGGTTCGGACTGGTGGTTTCGTAGCTTGACTTTAGGAGTACTGACTTACATCACACCAATTTAACTATGGTTATAAACGGAGTAACGCAATCTCAGTCATTCTTTTTTTTATTTCTCTTTGAGTCAATATGCCCTGAAGAACCGGGGCTGAGGTTAGCTTTTTTCTAATTACTCTAAGTTTTGACCGAAATGAAAGTCTTCACATTAATCCTGTCTCAGGAAAGTCTTCGACACCAAAAATTTCTTCTAAAAGGGGCTTAAAAGTAGACCTCTAGTTGAAACTATTCTTATAGATATGAAGAACAAGATGATATAGCTTTTTTTATCGCAATGTCCTTTGGCTTTATTTTAACGACCCTTTTAACATCCATCGTACAAAATTGAACAGAATAATGAGTACATTCACAAAAGTTGTGCTTATATCGTCCGTAAGCAGCGCCATATTTAGCCCTATGCAAAATCTCTTCAATGACATATTAACTGCAACTTTAGCCTCCAATATCTCACCCAACGATATGAAGTGGGAGTAATGGATACGGATGAGGAAACCATACTAGGAGGCAAGGGCTAAGCAAATACAGGTGAGGATAAAATGTGAAAAAAAGAAGAGTTGCTAATCAGACTGTTGGTAAATGTCTGGGAATATACCAATTCAGATTCACAATGCTGAAGAAACACGTGACAACAATGACAGAGGAGGAAGTAAGAGGCAGGTTTTTCGAAGTTTCTCTAGAAAAACAATCAGTTTACAAAACCGCTGGCAGGCCAAATGTGCTTGCACTTTACTTTAAAAATGGCAGTATTTTCTAGAATTCGCTCACTTGAAGGAAAACCAGTCTTCTTTTGCCATCTCTTGAAGGGCCAAGATATAGGATTCCAGGAGAGTCCAAGAACGTTCTTCCTGTTGCAGATCTCTGCTAATTTCATCGATCAGGCTAAAGTCACCCGGCAGAAGAGAAAAGTGTTCCAGTTCACGTCTACAAAAAATAGAAAAGTTCATGTAGATACGAAGAGTAAATGGGTTTTGATGAAGCTCCTGAGATAA